TCAGCTCTCAGACAGAACAACCGAGCTTGCTTGCTTTCTTGCTAAATTTGTTTTGTTTTTAGCAAGGTAGTTTTTATGTAAACTAACTTAGATGAAAGGGAGGAGGAGGAGGGAGGGGAGAGAGAGAACATCTTCAAGAACACACTTCTCCAGTGTGGAAAAAGCCAACAGAGGAGGCTAGAAAAATAGTACAGGGGTTAAGGTAGTTGCTTTGCATGCAGCCAACCTGGGTTCAATCCCTGGTACCCCATATGGTCTCCTGAGCCCTGCCAGGAGTAATCCATGAGTGCAGAATCAGGAGTAATCCCTGAGTACAGCCAGATAACAAAAAAATACCACCAAGAGTAATCCTGAGCATAACTACGTATGCTCAAAGAGAAGGCAAAGTGACAGATAAGCAGTTGAGAGGTATGTTTAAAGGAGAAAATGGACTTGAAAAGCGACTAAACAATAGAGCTTTGTGAGCAAGGGCTTAAGCAGGTGCAAGTTACTGAGGCAGGAAGAGGAAGGGCTTCATTATAATTATAGCAAAGTGGGTGGGAGAGTCAGAGACTTGTGGTTAATGCTGTGGACCTCTCCTTTCATTGTGAGTGATAAAACAACAAAACAACACTCAGGAACCGGAAAGATAGTACAGCAGGCAGAGCAATTGCCTTGTATGTGACTGACCCGGGTTGATGCCCGGCACTTCATTTGATATCTATGAGCACTGCCAGGAGTGATCCCTATGAGTAGAGCCAGAAGATAGCCCAGAACACCAACAGGTATGGCAAAAAAATGGAGGGAGAGACAGAGAAAGAATAGATACTACAGCAGGTAAGACACTTGACTAGCATGTGGCAGACCGGGATTTGATCTCTAGCACTATATATGATTCCATCCCCCATACAACCCCGACACAAAGAGTGATCTCTGAACACAGAGCCAGGAATAAGCCCTGAGCCAGTGGTGGGTATGGCCCCAAAAATCAAGAAAAAAGAACATTATGGGGTCAGAGAGATAGTGGCCCTGAGCATAGCCAGAAGTGGCCAGAAAACAATGTTTTCACTGTTTTTTCCTTTAATCACTGTGATTTTTTATTTTTAGTATAATACTTTTATTTAGGAAATGTGGAGAAGGGAAGTCTCAAATAAACGGAGAGAGGGACTAAAAAGGTAGCTCAAAAGGCTAGAGCATATCCTTTGCAGGTGTGAGCCCTAGGTTCTTGTTTTGGTGGGTTTTTTTGTTTCTTTATGTCACACCTGGCAGTGTCCGTGAGCCCCATGTTTTATTCTTTTCTTTTGTCCTTACTCTGCAGTGCTCAGGGGTTACTCCTGGTTCTACACTCAGGAATTAGTCCTGGCAGTGTTCGGGGGACCATGGGATGCCGGGGATCACACTCAAGTTGGCTATGTGCAAGGCAAAACGCCTGACCCACTTTACTACCACTCTGGTCCCGAATGTCCACTATTTTTCTGAAATAGTTTTACTGTAACTTAACTTTTGGAAATTCAGTAAATTGCCAGTACCCCTAAATTATGTGTATTTTGCTTCTTTCAGAAAACATCCCAGAAAAATGGACTCCAGAAGTTAAGCATTTCTGTCCCAACGTACCCATAATCTTGGTTGGGAATAAGAAGGATCTTCGGAATGATGAGCATACAAGGCGGGAGCTGGCCAAGATGAAGCAGGCATGGTCTGGGGCAGGGTTCTCTGTCCTAAAGCATTCTTGCACCGCACCGTGGTCCTAGGTGTTAGGAAGGAGTTAGGGAGCCTAACAAAACCCTCACAGGCCAGGCTATTTTCAGAATCTCAGGAGCCTACCTGTGTTCGTCTGGTCTTTGCTCACTGGGACCTACACAAAGACATTTTAAGACTCCCTTGTCAATATGTGAAGTGATGAACCATCACAAAAGCAGTCCATGCTTCAGAGTGGTTTATGTTAAACCAGAGATAAATGGTGGCAGCTGAAGGAGGACCAGGAAATCTGAGTGACTCCAGACAGAGAGCCCATGTGCCTTATAAAAGATGATGAAGGTGACATGTTCACTTCTAAGAAGCCAATAGCTGGACTTGTTCTCTGCAGGAGGCGTGCCTTGAAGTTGCTTCCATGGTTCTCCCACTGTGGTTTATCCGTTTGAATGTCACGGTTAGGATATCTTTCCATTCAGTTCCAGGAAGACCCAAGGACTTAGCCTGGATGGATGGGCAACTTCTGTAATTTTGCCTTGATTCCCTCCATAACCCTCCAAGGACTCCTTTGACCTCTGCCTTCTCTGCCTCAAAAGAAGAGCTCACTTAATAGGGATTTTACGATGTTGGGGCGGGTCACTGCATATCAGTTTCATAAATAAGTTTTGCCTGTATTGGAATGCTCTGTATGTACTAACTTACTGCATATATGTGATACTGTTAACTGAAAGTGCTCTTTTCTCATTGCCAGGAGCCAGTCAAACCGGAAGAGGGCAGAGATATGGCAAACAGGATTGGTGCTTTTGGGTACATGGAGTGTTCAGCAAAGACCAAAGATGGTGTGAGGGAGGTTTTTGAAATGGCCACGAGAGCTGCTCTGCAAGCCAGACGTGGAAAGAAGAAATCTGGGTGCCTTGTCTTGTGAAACCCTGCTGCAAGCACAGCCCTCATGCGGTTAATTTTTGAAGTGCTGTTTATTAATCTTAGTGTATGATTACTGGCCTTTTTCATTTATCTATAATTTACCTAAGATTACAAATCAGAAGTCATTTTGCTCTACAGTATTTAGAAGCCAGCCATGATTATTAATGATGTCCAACCTGCCTGACCCGCCAGGGTCCCTCTGACACTGCTCTAACAGCCCTCCTCTGCACTCCCACCTGACACACCTGGCGCTAATTCAAAGAGTTTAACTTCTTGCTTCTTTCTAGAAAGAGAAACAGTTGGTAACTTTTGTGAATTAGGCTGTAACTACTTTATAACTAACATGTCCTGTCTGTCATCTGTCAGCTGCAAGGTATATTCTGGTGAGGCACCACTTCAGAGCTTACTTAACACATTACATTAGCATAGCTCTGGAGTGGGCATACCATTTTTTGGGGGAAACGTTCCCAGCCAGAAACACCCAAGTCCATGCAGCTATGGCAAAGTTACAGTTCTGTGGTTTCATGTTAGTTACCTTATAGTTACTGTGTAATTAGTGCCACTTAAATGTATGTTACCAAAAATAAATATATCTACTCCAGACTAGATGTAGTATTTTTTGTATAATTGGATTTCCTAATACTGATATTTGTCAACCCCGCAGAAAGTGTATTGGTTTTTTAAAAAAAGAAAGTGTATTTGAAAATAAAGTCAGATGGAAAATTCATTTTTAAAATTCCCGTTTTGTCAGTTTCTCTGATAAAAGATGGCCATATCACCCATTTCCCAGTACCCCCTCCCCAGAGCTGGGCTAAGTAAATAGGAATTTGGTTTCATGCCTGAGGCACTTAAGACACTTCAGAAGGTGGCATACCCCATTTTCCCTGAACTGCACAGGGTCTGGCTCTAGGTCACAGTGCTCTCTTCTCCTCACTGTATCCAGGTTCCCTCCCAGAGGCGCCAGCAGTTCTCTTGGGTGGTACTCAGTTTCTCTTTTTTCTCTCCAGCTGACTAAACTTCTTTTCTGTACCACTTAATTTTTCCAACTACTAATAGAATAAAGGCAGTTTTCTAAACTTCCTGTATCCTGGTGTTTGTGTTGCTCTCTCCAGGGCTGGGAGTGGGAAGAGGACCCAGACTAGCTCACCTTGGAAGGTTCCTTCAGGGTTCAGAGTACTGGCTTGTCCCCTTCCCCATCCTCCGTCTAGCGCTAGAAGATGGAAAAGGATTAAGTTGAGAGTGGGGTGAGGAATGCAACTTACTGGGGAGACAAAGAGGCCCTCCAAGCAGTAGTTGTCCCAATTTCTCTCTGTCGATGGAATGACACTGCTGCCTACAGTGCTCACTGAGAATCCCTTTAGTTGTGCTCATACTCCTGCCTGGCTGTGGTGCCGCCAGACACTAGTGGAGCCAGAGTGGTACTGATGGGTTAGTTGTGTTCGATCCTGGCATTAAAATGTTTCCCCAAGTGAGGCTTGACCCCACCCCAAAAAAATGCTCGGAAGGGTGTGTGTCCCTGTAGAGCTGTCAGCCTTGTGCTCCACACAGATGGCAGCACTGGGGGCTAGACTTGGCCTCACACTTGTGAGCATATTAGCCACTGCCCTTCTCCTGGTCCCTAAGCAGTCATTCGTGAATCTCAGGGGTGACATTTATCTTTCCTCCCCATCATCTTTTCATTGCTCTAGAGAGTTGACTAGGGATGGAGGAAAGCCTGAAGTTGGTGGGGTCTTCTTAGCCCTATGTGCTTTGGGCTCCACTCAGAGGGCTGCGCCAGGGCCTGTGAGCAGCCCTTCGAGGAAACCTGGATGTGACCCCAAGGGTTGGAAGGAGGCCATATACCTGGACATGGAAACACAGCAGCTAGTTCCCAAATGCCGAGACATTCCTTTGGCAGAATTTGAAAGGGCAGAGGGCTAGCTGTGGCACTGAGTACATAAAGGAGGCCCAGGTTGCATCTCACAAGATACACGTGTGATCCCAAAACAAAGGATCTTTGAAGCCTACTTTCTGGCAACCTCTGAAATTGCCCACTCTCAACACAGCCCTCAACCCAGAAAGTGCCTTGGCAGCCACTGACAAATGTGTCATTACAGCAGCCAGCCCAGTAGCTGGCAGGGTCGTGAGGGCAATGTCCAGTAGACCAGGGCTGTGAGGTGGTTCCGTCCCCCCAAAGATACTCAGAGAAGGAGGCGAGCGTCCCAAACGCAATACCCGCGGCTCCGCAGGCTCAGGGCGGTGCCCACATCCGGCTGCAGGCCGCACCCCCTTTCCTCGCGGGTCACCCGCCTGGGGAACCACAGAAGCCGGATGAGGCGGGGATAAGGCGGTGCCCTAGCCCGAGGAGCGGCCGGAAAAGAGGCTGCGCCACGTGACCAGCCCATCGCAAGCCTGTTAAAAGGCGGTGCGGCCCGCGCGGACCCCTGTTCCGGGCTGTGCTCTCCCCGCGGCTGGGACGTGCTCGCCATGTGTGCAGCTCCGGCGGCGGCCGCAGTAGCGGCCCAGCGCTCCGTGTACGCCTTCTCGGCACGCCCGCTGACCGGCGGGGAGCCCGTGAGCCTGGGCTCCCTGCGGGGCAAGGTGCTGCTCATTGAGAATGTGGCGTCGCTCTGAGGCACAACCATCCGGGACTACACTCAGATGAACGAGCTGCAGCAGCGCTTCGGGCCGCGGGGTCTGGTGGTACTTGGCTTCCCGTGCAACCAGTTCGGGCATCAGGTGTGCGGGGCGGGGCGGGGCGCGGGTGGGCGTGCAGCGTACAGCGTGCAGGAAAGGGGGTCGCTCCCTTAGAGTTCCCTGGTTCCTCCCACCGCCGTGCGCGCGCCCTGGCGGTCCTGCAGGCCTCCCGAGGCGGCACGGCCGGGTGACTCACCGGAATGAAACGTCCTTGTTTGCGGCGAGGTTTCCCCTCCCCTTGCCGGTGCTCAGCGGCCCTTCCCGCCCGCAGGAGAACACGAAGAACGAAGAGATCCTGAATTCCCTCAAGTACGTTCGCCCGGGCGGCGGGTTCGAGCCCAACTTCCTGCTTTTCGAGAAGTGCGAGGTGAACGGCGCGCAGGCGCACCCCCTCTTCGCGTTCCTGCGGGAGGCCCTGCCCGCGCCCAGCGACGATGCCACTTCGCTCATGACCGACCCCAAGTTCATCACCTGGTCTCCCGTGTGCCGCAACGACGTCTCCTGGAACTTCGAGAAGTTCCTGGTGGGCCCCGACGGCGTGCCCGTGCGCAGGTACAGCCGCCGCTTCCCCACCATCGACATCGAGCCAGACATCGAGGCGCTGCTGGCAAAGCAGCCGCTGTCCGCCTAGGGTGCCCCGGCAGCACCGTGCAGCCCTTGGGGGCTCCCGTCCTTGACGGTGTTTCTCTAAACCTGAATGGAGAAACACCCGATGCCCCGGGAAACCCCCCCAAGATTGGCGCGGGCCCTGCCCCTCTCCCCGACCAAGATTTCTCACTAATAAAGTGTCTTCTTGCCAAAGAACTTTGTCAGTGTCGACTAGGGGCCCCGTGAACTTCACTGTCATAGGCTGTGAGCTAAACCTTGGCGCTTATACCAGCCGTGTTAGAACTTGCTTTCCTCTGCCCCGTGTAAATAGCCTCTTCTCTGGAGATGCCCCTGCTCCAGGCAAGATACCAGTAGGGCTACCCTAGGCAGGCCCTGCCTGGTCCAAAACCCATTATTCCAAAGCAGAAAGACAAGGGCTTGAGCCATAGTACTGTGGGAAGGGTGTTGGCATTGCACGCAGCAGACCCAGGTTTGGTTCCCCATCATCCCATATTGTCCCTACTATTGCCAGGAGTGATTCCTGAATGCAAAGCCAGAGGTATCCCCTGAGCATCTCTGGGCATGGCTCAGAAAAAAACAAAAATAGACCAAAGCAGGAAGACAGTTCTAGGGGCTGTAACAACTCCATGGGCTTCCATTCACATTCAGATTCTGGAGTTAGGCTCACAGAAGCCCATTTTACACAGCCACAAACCTATCAGTATTAGAAACTCTTCCTTTGATCCATCTTTGTATAGTATCCCCACAATTCTGATATGGGCCTTACTAGTTGCTGCCTCTCTTGTAATCAAGTTAGAAGCTGTGACCAGGCCACCATGGCACACAGCTGTTAGCAGTTATCAGGCTCAGGGTAGGGGCATATCTTGGGGACCATCTGTTGTTTCCCAGACAACCAGCCTCTGCATCTGTTGACCCTGCTTTTAATCTCACTAGCCAAAACTAGTCACTTCTTACCATCCTCAAGGGGATTCTTCAGGACTTGAATACAGCTGCTGCTTCTGGGCATACATGGCCCCAGAGACATGTTAATATCACCCCACCTAGAATCGGGCTGCTTTAAATGCAGCCAACCTGAGTTCAATTCCCAGCTCCCCATATAGTACCCTGAATATTGCCAGAGTGACCCCTGAACACAGCCAGATCTGACCTCCCAAAAAAGTGATGGATAAATAAAGCAAAGTAAAAATAAATTAGTGAATTATGATAAAATTAATTAAAACAGGTTACCTGAGCAGAGAGTGGGGATGGGAGAAAGGATTGAAGGGGCATAAGGAATCCTGGGAGTAGGAGCTTCTATCTATTGTTTTTTGGGAAAAAAGACTCTCAAAATAACATGTCATCTGGGTATATGGAACAGAAGCCAGTTGCCCTCTGAAGAAGTTATTGCCATGACTATTTTTTCTGCTTTTTGGGTCACACTCAGCGATGTACAGGGGTTAATCCTGGCTTTGCACTCAGGAATTACTCTTGGCGGTGCTCAAGGGACCATATGGGATGCTGGGAATCGAACCTGGGTCAGTGGGGTGCAAGGCAAACACCCTACCCACTGTACTATCACTCCAGCCCCTATTACCATGACTTTAAAGAACGCAGACCTCACTGGAGCCAGAGAGATAGTATAGCTACAGCCGGTGAAGCATTTACCGTGCATACAACCTACCTGGGTTTGATCCACGGCACCCCATATGGTCCCCCACCACCACCACCCCCACCCTGAAGCCTGCCAAGAGTGACCTCTGAGTGCAGAGCCAGGAGTAAGCCCTGAGCCCTGCTGGGTATGGCCCAAAAACCAAAAAATAAACAAGAAAAAAATGCAGAGTCATTGCTGGGGTGTGGTTCTGTGACCGTGCATGCACGAGGTCCTAGATTCTCCTTGGCAGGACCATCATAAATAAGATAAAGGATGCAAATTATCTAGAATTAGGGACATCTCAGGAATTATCTGTTAAACCTTGGTATAGAGAAATCTGTTCAACCTTGGCAGACACATAGAGTCAAAGGTTGGTTCTTGTTTTGTTCTGCTTCTAAATAGAGGCGCTCTAGGCCCATCTCTGTTGTTGACAGTGGTGGGGGCACAGGGCACCAGGGCTATACCACTTTGTCTGTACAGGTATCTGCTCTTCCACTTGAGGTATTTCACCTAACTTTAAGAGGTCATTTCTTGTTACATAAAGGCATTGTATGGTGAGACTGCTCCATCTCTCCTTGAGACTCCCAGAACCATTACCCTTCATCCCTTAGCATAGGCTATAAGACCCTGGTTTATCCCACTTACTTTAGAATTTATAGCCATGTAAATTCTCTACCAAACATCTAAATTTGCTGTTTTCTCTTCTTACCTATCTGATGTTCATTTGTTCATACCTTAAATCCAAGAGGAATCCAGAGAGGCGGGGAAATGTTTCCCATCACCCTGATAAAACTGAAAAAGCCTAGAAGCTGTTAGCAAAGGAACAAGCTGATGGAAGTCGACAGGGAGGATGAGACGTGAGGATCTGGGGTGGACAACACCTGGGGGAGCAGGTTTGGGTGTGTGCTCAGCAGAAGGGGGTATGCTCAGGCTCAGGTGTGCAGACTGGGAATATGGTTCAACGGTAAAGCACACAACTTGTGTGTGCGAGGCCCTTCATCTGATCCCTGGCACCAAAAACAAAAACCCTTACCTGAAACAGATTCAGATGTGTTGCATGAGACACTGAGATGGAGGCAAGGTGCAGCAGCTGGAGACGAGAGACTTCAAGAAGGAGCAGGGCTAGAGAAGTTCTTACCACTAGAAGGGAAGTGGTCATCTGCAAAGAGTGGCAAGAAAAAGATCAAGACAGGAGCCAGAGTGATAGTACAGCGGGTAGGGTGTTTGCCTTGCATGCGGCCAACCTAGGTTCAATCCCTGGCATCCTATATGGTACTCCAAGTACCACCAGGAGTAACTCCTGAATGCAGAGCCAAGAGGAACCCCTGAGCATTGCCGGGTATGACCCAAAAAGGCAAAAAAAAAAGATTAGGAGGGAATCCTGGGTCAGGTGGCAGAGGCACACTAGAAGGCCCAAGGAGCCAAAGGAAGTAGTGAACTGGGGCAGGAGAGAGAGCTCAACAACTGGAGCATATGCTTTTTTTTTTCCTTTTTTGGGTCACACCCAGCGATGCATAGGGGTTACTCCTGGCTCTGTACTCAGGAATTACTCCTGGCGGTGCTCGGGGGACCATATGGGATGCTGGGAATCGAACCTAGGTTGGCCGCATGCAAGTCAAACACCCTACCCATTGTGCTATTGCTCCGGCCCCAGGAGCATATGCTTTGCATGCAGGCGGCCCAGGTTTCATTCCCTGGCACTGCATAGTTCCCTGAGAACTGCCAAACAGACCACCCTGAGCTGAGCCCAAGAGAGAATACAGAAGGAAGGGCACTTGCCTTGCACATGGCTGACCCAGATATGATACTTGGTACCCCATATGGGCCCCAGAGCATGACCAGGAGTGATCCCTGAGTACAGAGCCAGGAGTAAGCCTTGAGCACTACTGGCCCCAAAACATCAGCAACAATAAAAAGTAGACCCTGAGCAGAACTTGCTGTGGCCCAAAGACTGAATAAAAGTCATCCGGCAAAAGTGCAACAAATGGGGCCAGAGCGATAGTACACTGGGTAGGGCATCTGCCTTGCACACAACTCACCCAGGTTTGATCCCCAGCATCCCATATGGCCCCCTGAGCACTGCTAGGAGTGAATAGAGTGTAGAATTATGAGTAACTCCTGAGCACTGCCAGGTGTTGCTCCCCCCAAAAGTGGAACAAGTATGTCTCAACAAGGGCAGTTTTAGGCAATCAGCTAGAGCTTAAGCCCATGTACAAGAGCCTGAGATGCACCGGGTGGTGTCCTAGGAACTACCTACACAGAACCCAAGATCACTCGGGCGCTTGTTAAACCCTGTATCCCAGGGCCTGCTTCAGTTATACTAATTTGGAAAATCGAGAATAATGTCCTACTCAGTGACCTACCAGCTGGATTCAAGAGGAGAGAACCCTGCCCCCATCTTCTGCAGAGGGTCACTTTCTGACTCTTGATCAGGCTCCAGCACAAAAGCCTGGGATTTCCCAACTGACTCTAACCTCTTCCTCCCAGTCAGCTAGTGACTCATTCTGCTTGCCACTGGGTTTGGGGGGTGGGGGAGGAGTTTGGGACCACACCCAGCAGTGCTCAGTGACTATTTCTGGCTTTGTGCTCAGGACAGGTCACTCCTGGTAGTGCTCAAGAGATTATAGGTGGTGCAGAGATTAAACCAGTGCAGCTGCATAAAAAGCAAACAACTTACCCCCTATATGATCTCTCTGGCACCTGACACTTCTTTTTCCCCCCTTTAGTTTTTGGGGCATACCTGGCAGTGTTCAGGGCTTATTCCTGGTTCTACACTCAGGAATCACTCCTGGAGGTGCTCAGGGGACCATATGGGGTCCCAAGATTGAACCCAGTTTGGCCACATGTAAGGCTCATGCTACCCACCATCTCTCCAACCCACTTACTTATTTTTTTAACTGTGTTTGTGTCTTGGGTTCCTAGGAAATTTTTTTTTGGGGGGGGGTGGTGTGGGGAATGGATGAGTGGCGGAAGGGGAACATAGCTCCCAAGGAGTAGTCAGGAAGCCTGGGGCACCTCTCAGTGATATTCGACCCAGTTTCACAGGCTGATGATGCAGTGTTTAAGTCTGGCAGTGCAGTATCAGGGATTGAACTTGGGGTCTCAAGCATGTTAGACACCTACTTCATTCCCATGAGCTAACTTCCCAGCCTCGGGAAGGGCACTGCTAAATTTTCCGTGTAATTGACCTTGGCTGCTGAATATTCCTTGTCAGACTTCAAACCTGCCTATCTCTTTTTAACTGGAATTCCTTTCCAATTCTCTCTTCTTCAAGAAACCTCAGAATAAAACCAACTAACACTTCATCTTCCTTCCTAAAAATCTGAACATCAGGCCAGAGGTAGGGTGCTTGCTTTGTACACAGCTGACCCAGGTTCAACACCCCCCAAACCCACCCTCCTCATGCCATATGTTTCCCCCATGTACCACCAGGAGTGGTTCTTGAGAGCTGAGAGCAGAACCAGGAGTAAGCCCTGAACCAGGGTACAGCCCAAAAAACAGAGAGAGAGAGAGAGAGAGAGAGACAGACAGACAGACAGACAGACAGACAGACAGAAGAAGGGGG